GAGGTAAGGTCTAGGTCTAGGTCTAAGGCTAAGGACTAGGTCTAAGGCTAAGGACTAAGGCTAAGGCTAAGGCTAAGGCCTAAGGCTAACATCGACAGTCACGCCTCACCCCACGGTGTGGGGTCGGCGGATTTAGAACCCTAGGGATCCAGTCGTACCGTACCTCAGGTTCGGTACGACTGGACCCTCCTGGCACCTACATGACAGTGTCGAACACATCACCGTACCTGAGGTACGGTACAACGAACACATCCCAAACGGGTAAGAGGTGCCCGTATTCAAATACAAACCCACCTCAAACATCCCCGGTCGACCAGGCAAGGATCAGGATACGAATCGTCTCGATGGTCGAGTCATCGGCTTCTTCAGCGCCGACGCACTGAGTCGTCCTAGATGGACCTAGATGATCCCAGAATGAGAGCTTCGGCAGATTCAACAGCGGGTGTAAAGCTATTATAATTATATATATTAATATTGCCCTGTAATATACCATACTCTACTTTCAAAGTGGTGTCAAAGAATACCATCTTCGAGAATGATGCTCGATTTGCTGCCCTCACCCTAAGTATCCTAGGGGGTCGGACCTGAACTCGGAACCCGAAACGCAGGGGTTGGTTCGGCCGAAGACCCAAACGCTCTCTTTGACGTTCGGAACATCAGGAACTCCATGAAACATGGTTTACTATGGTTTACTTGGTGTTTTGAGGGTGTTGCAGCGGTGTGAGGCTCCCAGGGCCATGGTATTGAGGAACCATGGGGAACCCCGGGCCGGGCCGTGGCATGGGTCGACCCAGCTAGAGCCGCTTTCGAAAGAATGGGAACGACCTGGTTTTCGTGTAACAATCTCAGTCAACAGTGATTTTCTTTGGGGATTCAGACCATGTTAAAACAGCAACCATGGTTGGAACTTCAAGATACAGTGTTTACTTTCTTTTTCCGCGTCTAGTCGAAGCAGCCAGTTCGATGGCATCCATCCATCGGCACAAGCCACGTCGCGAGGCCAAGACCCTTTCGAGATGCTGGGCGAGCCCAGCTGGTGTGGATGTCGATGGGTTCCGTTGGGTTCGGCGGTGAGTCAAAGGAACTGGTTGGTTCCAAGATAGCAGGAATCAGATTGTTGGAGGTTTCCGCAGGTTCCAAGAGGTTCAAAGTCGACAGTTAATCTGGGTGCGGCAGGATCGACTCTGTTTGCTGCAAACTCTGTTTCACACCTGCAGGTCCAGGTCGGACCATTGAGGATGCACCCAATTCGACAGAGCAGCGTGAGGCTTCCACTGCTCCGCTTCCACCAAACGCAGGCGCCTCGCTTTGGTTCTGGCTGTGTCACAGGGCAGCATTCGCTTTGGTGAGTGCGGCAGGATCAATCAATCACGCTCAGTGTTCGCTTCTTCGGTAGGGCGGTGCTCCTCCAGAGTCAACACTTTGTCCCTAAATCGCTTGCGGTTTGCCATGGCGCTGGACACGAAATGCGGGGTGTTCCCGGGTCATGACGGAGCCGCCCTTCCCGCATCGGGGGAGACGTTGCGAGCTGGTCTGACCATAAGTTCTCGCAAGGATTTGAGGAAAACAGCTGTCAGACACCGAAGAAGAAGCTTAGATCGTTGGGCCAGCGAGACGACTAGCGGATCGACTAGCTGCACCAGCTGTGGGTTGCAAAGCTTGGCATTGACCCGGCTTTGGATTCAGCTATAGTCGCGACTATGTGGATCCTCCATGACGCCTCTGGCGCCAGGCGGAGGTTGCAGGCGCAAAGTGCAGGGCATGTGGACCAATTGGACACTGGGCACGGGATCCAATGGCCCAGCACCAAGGTCGAAAGGAAAGGGCCAGAAAAAGGCATACGTCTGGCGCTGCATTCGATTCGGCCGGACGTGAGAGGTGACAAACCCAGGGATGGTCCATGGTGGGCCTGGAGAACACGGAGAAGATGAGCCGAGAAGCCGCTGGATGTGCAACGCGCCGACTGAGGACTGAGGACTGAAATTGAGGAGACTGCTCTCTCAAGAAGATGTAGGTGATTCGAATGTTTTGTGATAGATGAAACTTCCGAACTGCTTGCTGCTGCCTCGAACGTCAGCTGTCCACATCCTCATGTCATCTCATGCCCCCCAAAAAAGGCAGCACGTCGGGAGTTCGAGCCGCGCTCTGGAGACATTTTACAGCAGTGTTTCTTCAGGGAACCCCGAGGAAAGCCCGCAGATGGGAATTGCAGCATTTGGTCGGTCTATGGGAGGAAGGGCGCACCCAGGCCGATTCTGGGTTGTAAGATGTTGCAGGAGTTTGCGGCGTCCTGGTCCGGCGGGCGTACTGAGCCTCGCGGTGACCACGTGACCCAGTTCCGGCGGTCAACGTCATGCCGACGTGGACGTGGATGACCTGGATGACGTGGGTCGAACCGGACGGAGAAACAGCTGCAGGGTTTGTGCTGTGTCTGTCGAAGATCGAAGCCGCTGACGAACAAGCGAACGAACAAGCTGCCGGAATGTGCCGGACGAACAAGACTAAGGACAATGGCGTGAAGTTTGTGAGGCCATCCAACGCAACTGGTAAGATTTGGTTGAGTTGCGTCAGCAGTGCGCCCTTCACCAGCAGGGTGCAGGGAACGCTGCTCAACTCCAGGGTTGGTGGCGGAAATTCATGGATGATGCCAGATCAACTGGACGACCAGCCCCCCACCGGTCGATTTTTTTGCATCTAAAGCATGCTGAGGTTCCGAAGCTTCTTTGGCGGAGGAGGAGGCGGAGGAGGCCGTGTGTCAATTGGTCTCACACAGCCGGATGGAAACTATAGGGCAAGCTTCGGCCATGAAACCGACATTTTGTTGGTTGCTATCGGAAATCGGCAGGGATGACAACTTGGTTCAAGAAGCTTGTAGGGAACCGATCAAACCAAATTTCCAAACGGATGGAACCAATGGCGGGATCAACCCAATGGCTGACACTGCCTTTAGCGAAGGATAATATCTAGGGTACAGGTATATTCTATACAAAGGGCTTTCTACCAGGCTTTGCTAAGGCTCAACATCGTTGTACTGTATGTATATATATAGATAATATTTAGTATATTTATTTATCTATATACTATTCTTGCTTTTACATTACTGCGTCTTTGTTTATTGCATTCCTATGTCAATGTTTTCGCTATTTCACATTGGTAACATTAGCATATCATTGTATTCTTTATAAAAGTAATAATATGTGCATATATATATATACATAATCTTAATTGCCATCTGCCAGGATGCAATGACTCAGCAAGAAACATGTGGATGATCCCAATTCCGTTGTTTCTGTGAAGTACTGGGTTTGACTTGGATGAACTGATGCAGGCCCACAACCATGTGATTCAACTGCTTGCTACATTGCAGTTAGTGCAACCCGATGTTGCGCCTCTTTCGGGGCCCAACGGCGATCCTCCAAGCACTGTCGCGAGTTCGCCTGCTCCACCTTGGGTTGTTCTGCAGCTTTGATATGTCCAGCTTATTAGGTGGATGTCCCAGGTGGAACAGCAAATCATGGAACAGCATCTGCTTGCTGTTGTCAACATGCTGTGAACGGATGTGTTTGGATGTGCTTTTGAGGGACTATGTCGACCTACTTCCGATCAGCTCACGGTAGAACTGGTCAGACTTTTAGTACACAATAAACAAGCATGCAATGTGCTGAAGCTAAAACTTACCAAACCAATTTCAAACAACAAACGTGGGTGAACCGACTGGTGTCCCAGTTGTTAGCGAGACACCCCGCGAGACGGGGCAGCCCCGTGTCTATTTCAACATGGCAATTCGCGACTGGTCGATCTTCCCCAGATTGGTCTCTGCGCAGCTTCTTATCCTCGCATCCTTCCATCATGTGCATGGCCCTTTGAGAAGGTGGTGCAACAGGTTCCTCGTACAGGTCGACCCTTTTGTCATGGATGGGAAGACCCGCACATCTCGAAAAAGAAAAACACCAAGTTACGGCCTCTTGGTTTCCGGGCCTTCTCGTTGATTTGTCGCGTTCGTCTCGAGAGTTTCCGAGAAACCCTTGGAACCTGCGCATGCAGAACACTCAGTTTGCTGCCCGGGCAGCAAACTGATTCACCATCAAACGCTTGGAGTGAATTCAGACCATTTTACTAACATCTCGATTTGAGCACTTGGTCAAACTAACTACACATGGTCTTTTTAGAATCGATCTAACATGTCTCCACTCTCCGGGTCCAAAGAACGAGCTGCACCCCGCCTGCGCCATGGAGCGCGTCCGATGCTTGGGCTGCTGGAGCGCTCTGGGCGATGCGGAGGCGCGCGAAGATGGACGTTTGACAGTCCAAGTATCAATCCACTGCTGAACTGTGCATGTACTGCTGTTTCAGTGCCGTTTTTCTTTTTTTTTTTTTCATGCACTAAGCTGCTAAGACCTCCAAGCTTATGCCAACAGGCATCAACAGACAACAGGTTGGTGACTCTTATGAACGCGAGCCGAGCATTGACGTGGTTTGTGTTCCTAAGTGGGTGGCATCAACCATATAAGGACTTTGCACAGAATATTCAATAGTCATTCAGGACATCTCAGGAACCATTAAGTCAACATTTTTCTAGCTACGTGTTTTCGCTAGCATCTTTAGTCCCTTCAGGTTCCGCCACCGTGAACTCGTTGGAAACAGCTATGTTGTAAGGATCATCCTAACCACTTTAGAGTTTGAGGGTACGAAGACATCTCACTCGACATCCAGTCAAATTGCCAGTCAAACATCTGGGATTTCGGATTTTTTTGTTCAAGAAAGGGAGCTCCGTCTTTCCTCCAATTTCCACTCGATGTCGGACCCTGGGAACTGGTGGGTGGTCAAGACCACCCACCCCACGCCGCGCGTGTTCGATGGGATTTGGAGTGGTCGTAGATCCCCACGAGCAGTGTATTGGACATCGTGCCACTATCTACCAGAGGTGGGTCAGAACCCGAACTAGACTATCCTATAAGTACCCCTCCCTGACGGGTCCTAGTTCAGGTCACTGGCTACCTCTGGTATTTCAGGATGCACGATTCATTCGGAACATCCAACTTCAAGGTCCGTTCAGAGAAAATGGCGAGGTGTGCGAGTTTTTCTTGTTCGGAGATTCTACCGGTGCATGGTGGGTGACTGAAGTGAACATGGAAGAGAAAGTACAAAAAAAAGATAAAGCAAGGAACAAACAAGTAAAATCAACCATGACAGGAACACATTGCTGAAAACCCATGTACCATTTGTACTCCATGCTTCTCTGAAAATAGCTTGGCCGATCGGAGCAACATCTACGGATACAGGAGGGTTTCAACTCTTGAGTAGGACACATTGCTCCGAAACAAGGACACCTTGTTTCTTTCACTTCGTTTGCTGCTGTGTTTCTTACAAGTCGAGCAAGATACATGCACATTGTTCATTGATCTGCAGGGGACCTTGATTATATAATCACAACCTGTCACAACCAACTGTCCAACCATTGTCCAACCTGTCACAACCTGTCACAACAACCTCCGCCGTGATCAATCACATTATGATTCTTGCTCCTCTTGAACCAAATTGGAGATCCTTCCAATCATGCCTCTCAAGGCAAACTCTTTCGTCGAAAGATGAAAGGCAAACTCTCAAAGGCAAACTGATTCCTCTTCCAACTCAGACTCACATGATGGTTCCAGTCTTTCTTGAAAGCGGTGCTTTTTCGCTCTCCTTCCTTCCGTTTTCATGCAACTCACCCGCCACCCACGATCCACCCGGTCCACACACCACCATCCGGTCCACCCGCCGGGCATCGGCTCCCAACCCCCGCCGGGCATCGTCGGAGCGTGCGGAGCGTTCGGAGCTCGACCAGTTCCTTGCGGTCCCAAACCCTGCGCAGCGCGTGTTCCATCACCCAGGCAAGTGCATGTCTTGGACATGATTTGTTTCAATGTTTCTGTTCAGGTCTTGAAGGTGTCAGGAGACTGGTCTGTCAGTCTTCTACTGGACAGGTGGCGGTGCGCCCAGTCAAGGAGCTCGTCGAGGAGCAGCTCTGAAGAGAGCTGACGGCGCGGGTGGCGACCGTGGGCTTCAAAGCACCGAGACTCAGGGTGTATGAAAAGGGGGAACTCAATTGGACACGACTTGATAGCCCAAAACGAGCCAGGATGAGGTCACGACCTGGCCGCCTATAAAGGGTCACTCACTTAGAGACTCCAAAGAGGTCACTTTGAAGGTCTTGGTTTTTGGTCCCTGGTACACGTGTTTTTGTCTTTCTTCGCAGCAGTGAGCCTAAAGTGAATTCTTTTGGAGACCGAGAAAAAAGAGTCAACGAGGTAGAGCCCCTTAACGAGCTAACGAGCCCTTTGACTTAGGTACTTCTAGCGCTGAGCGCATGAGCTGTGCGCATGGTGACCTGAACAAGCATGGTGACCTGAGTGTTCTTCGGTGGAACCGACGGGCTCCGGGGTCAGTGATCCACCCGCTTACGCGTCGCCGCGTCGAGTCCGGTCCAAGAGCCGCCCTTCGCCAACGCGCGGAGCGTTCAACGGGCCAAAGCAAGGGATTGGAGACGTGCACAGATTTATGGTCCAGACTGGCTCGATTCTTTTTGGGGAACTGTGTCTTTTTGGTCCAAAAAGGAAGATCCATCAGGCATCATCATCATCAGGCCAGCTCTATTTGGGTTTGTATTTCAATATAGGGACACCACCTATTCAAGGCTGTCATCTAAATTACTCCTTCTTCCTTGGAGTCTTTCGGGGGTCTCATGTATGACACACACACACACATTTCAACTCCGGTTTTTCTCCTCTGACCCTAGGGCTCCGGTCGTACCTGCTCAGAAGGTATGACTGAACCCTCTAAAATCACTCCAGTCCCATTTTCTAAGAATGTACTTGGAGCCCCAGGACTCAGTTGCTGGATCACGTTTGGAAGAGCTCCTCTCAAAAGAGACTCGGGGCTCCTCCTTCGTCGCGACAAACATGGGCAGGAGCTCCATCTGGGGGAGGGCCGCACCAATCAGAACTTCATTGCCACCTGGATGCAGTGCTTACTCACGAAATCTGAGCAGGGCATATGGAAGGGCCTGTAGATTTATGGAATGTGGTGAGCTGAAGCTTGAAAGGTGTTGGATTTGTATCCCAAGACGTTGCACATTCCAGGACCTTTCTACCTGGACCCTCCTGTCGGGGTGTCCAATGGACTACCCCACACTACCTATAGGCTTCCATTGGGCACCCCTTGGAGGGTCCTGGTAAGAATTTGTTTCAGGACGTAATTACACGTTCAGACACTGGTCCCTTCCGCCAGGTCTCTTCCGTCGGCGGTGGGCGTTTTGGGAAGCGAAACGCCCGAACACACGGGGAGCCCTCCGGCCGTCAGAGAGTTGGACCGATGGGTGAATTCCAGGTCCAGGACATCGACTCTATCCCGTTTGGAGGATCCTTTTGTTTCGGTTCGGGAATTGGAGGGTTACTGGGGTGGGTGCCAGGGGCGGTCCAGGAGGTACGACTGGATGTCGGTATTTGGACCGAAGGTTGCAGGACATTCCTGAAGTATATGTCACCATTCGTGAGACCATTCTTTTGAGAGTCTAGTCGAACTCCCAGGGTTTAACATAGCTTTTGCATCGTTTTTTCCAAGTGGGTCCGTGCCCCTTTGACTGGTGTTCTATCAAGAAACAAGACTCTTACCATGGACTGGGACTCCTGGGCGACCTCTCCGAATACCTGCAGCCCCTGGTCGTATGCGGACCCGGTCTGAACGGATGGTACGGTTGGACCCTCAGGAAGTAGGAAAACCCCTGCAGTCACCGTCGGGATTGAGGAGTGTCCCTACCCTGTCAGGCTCCTGTCCCATATCTGGCCTGGTGAAGGTGGTTGTCGACCCCACTGGCACCCACCCATGGCCCATCTTCGAAACGGAGGGGGCGGCCAGGAGCACACATGGACAGGTGGAGCTGATTTCCCCTCACCGAAAACCATCCTTTTTCTGCGGGATCGGCAGACTGCCGCAAAACCTTTGACAGATTGGCCCGATCGTCTGAGGTGGGGCATTCTGATCTCATGCCTTCATCCATATCTTTTATTTCGTCAAGGTTTACCTGGGCGCCCCTCCGCTCCCATGTGCGCCACCTCGTCCACAGCCCCACTTTGGTTCGCATGTTTGAGGAGACGGATCGAGACGGTGGATAATCCCGAGTCCAATCCCCTGTCTCCCTTTGGGCGCGCGGGTTGTTCCCATGCACTTGGTGCCGATGTCCGCGACGTCCAGCGAAAGAGAGAATGTACTTGCTTCCACCAGGGAGCCAAGAGTGAACCAAACCCTATTCGTGGGATTGAACTTTAAAGACGTTTATAATATCCGAAGAAATCAACATAAAGAAAACAAGCTCCCCCTCACTGGCCACGTTCCAAAAAACACATGAATCATCATCAGAAAAGTGAAGCCGATTGTGAGTCCAACTTCTCCTTCTCCTCCTCCTGTATGGCTGCTTGACCTCCGGTGTTCGGCCCGTGGTCAAGGCTTGCGAGTCGGTCCGTCCAAAGAAGCACGACATACCCCAAACAATCCTCATGGGACTGAAAGATTAGCCAATCAGCTGGCGTGATTTGAAGATGTTTTGAGGGTCCAGTTTGGTCTTCTGCACGTGTTCCATAAACCAGGATCATCCTGTTTGGGGTGTTCAATAGACTACCCTACCCTACTTATAGGCCTTTGTTGGGCACCCGTTGGAAGTGCTAAGAACATTTGGATGGTCTGGATCCAGTCGACGGGTACGACCAGGTCGACTGCGGCTCGCGGCGCTTCTTTGTCCGCCTGGGGGCGGATCTGCCCTTCTTCGGCGTCAACCGGCAGAGGGAGCAGGTGCACCGAGCGATTCTGAGGTGTGGGTCTGGGTGGCTGCCCGCGCTGCTGCAAACCGGTGCCGTAGAGAAGAATTGAAAGCGGGTGTTTCACTCGATCCTTGATGGTCGCAAGTTCTGGATCCAACCGGGCCCGGGTCTGAAATGGTCCCACGGCGCGACGACGTCGCCAGGGTATGGTGGATCTACGAAAATCAAGGGTGCCTAAAATAGGGGGTAAAATCAACATGTTCAGCTGGGTGATTGCCATGGTCAATCTCTTCGCTGCTTGGCCTTTCTCAAGTGTCAGCGATGGTTCTCAGTGGATCCTGTTACCACAAAGACCTCAGAGCTTTTTGGGCCTAGAACAGACACACTGGATTTTAATGTTTCGATTGGATTGGAAGAATCCCGCCAATTTCTGGACCCAGCTTTCAACCCGTACGTGTAGACCCGTACGGCTTCCTGGCTGGTTTGATAGGCTGTCTCCCGAATCAACGAAGGATTACACTACAAAAACCCACCTGGACCCTCCAAGGGGTGTCCAATGGACTACCCCACACTACCTATAGTAGGCTTCCATTGGGCACCCCTTGGAGGGTCCTGGCAGGTCTGTCCCATGTTTTTTTCATGGTCGTTCCCGGAAGTCCTGTGGGTGTTGGTTTCCACTCTCAACTCAGGCGGCGGCGCGCGCGGCCGAAGCCGTGGGCCTGGGTCCGGCGGTGAGGCCGGTTCCGCGTGGAGCAGGGGACGAAGGAGAGGGAGAAAGAGAGGGCGGAAGGAACGTGGATCAATGATATGGGTTTTCTCGCTTCTAGAAGCTCCGCAACATGGAAGAAGATGTATGACTATTTGAGTGTGGTCCCTTGTAATTGCTGCAGCACTGCTGGTTGATGCCGCGGGAAGTGCAAACAGTCTGGGTGAAGAATGAAGAAGTTGATTTTGTTGCCGAACACTCTCAAAGGGTCTGATGGTGTGGATGTACCACAATCAATGGTCAATGGATGTCACATCTAAGAACTGCTCCATTGGCAAGTGATGAGCAGGAGACCATCCGTCGCCAGCTGGATGGATGCATGTTGAGACCAACCAATCCCATATCGATCCAATAGACAGTAGAAGTATACTACAGTAGTATAGTAGCAGGAGATATGAGTATCATTGAGGATCCAGATGTACATGTATACACAGACAAACAGCACCTGTTGGGCCCCTTCTGTAATATATATACCCAGAGGGTCGTACGACCCTGATTCTAGGGGTCCTTGCAACGACCTCACTTTTGAACGAACGACCCTGATATGTGTGGTTGCAGTCTTGTGCGTGGCTCACTTGATTTTTTAAAACAGATTTCATGGAACACAATCAAATGAAACAGTGCTTGAAAGATCTTTAAAGTATCAGGGATGCAACCCACAACTATTCCTGGAACCTTTTCCACCATTTGATGGTAACCGTTGTGCCTTTCAAGCCATGCCATCACTTCAGAAGAGCTTCTCAAAGAGCTGGGAACTCAGAAAAACACCGTCAAGTTAACATATGTTTTCCAAACCATGGCCCAGGAAGAAGGATGAGCACTTGTGGAGGTGCTGCCTCCATTGCCTTCATCTTTTTAGAAAGCGTTTTGCATGAGAGCTAAATTCTTATAAGCTAACACTGGTCGCTCAATCCTCAGCCCGTCAGCCCCAAGTGCTCTGCAGCCCAGTTCTTTTTGCATCATCGATCCAACATGGATCCCAATATCCGCAATTTCCTCCTGGAGGCCGGTGCCATGTTATCTTCACATGCATGCTTCAAGGGCAGCAATGCAAATCTAGACCCAGGTAGATAACACCCACTTTTCTTCATTATCGATCGGTCGAGCGACCAGGAGTTCTACGAGGAAAGACTCAGGAATGAAGATTGGGTCACAAAACGCTTTTATGACTTGGCCGTGAAATCTTCGATCCCGAAAAGCAAAGTCCAGCGACGTTTGTCAGCCAGCAAGGCCAGTGATTCCAAACTTACTTGACGCATATGTGCCAACCCACCTTTTTAATGGCATGACTTCGGAAAGCTAAAATGATCACCAGGCACCTTGTACGTTCAGCTTCTGCAACGTTGACAAACACGTTTCGCCGGAGACTGTACGAACCTTATCTCTTAAATTGTCAGCCATTGCACGGATTCCAAATAATGTTCTTCATGTTTGTTCGTCGCTAAGATTCAAGACGATGATGCCAACTACGAGTTCCTTCTTGACTTTTTAGCAAGCTTTGGAGAGCGGCTGCCAAATGCATCAGAAATGAAGGAATCATGGCATTGAATTTTGGAGTTGTGTGGTAGTCCAACATTGATGGTGATATTACATGCGTGCATGTGTTCAGGCAGCGCTGATCAAATCTGCCAAGTCTCGGGGTCAAGCTCTTGTGGTTTACAAGAGCCTAGATGAACTCAAGGACTGCTAATAATATTAATTGGTATGCAGGCCCAAGATAATTGCTAGCTAGTGCTGTTTCTTTCTTCAGGACTGGGCCGAAGACGAAACAAAGCTTCAGTTGGGTTTGGCACGGTATATTTGCAGAAGGGCACGCAGAAATGAACACGCGAGGTCAAGCCTTCTTGTCTTAAGCTTGGAAGCGGCTGCCTATCACCGACAATTTTGCCAGGGCCAATGCTGATCGTGTCGAAGAGCTGAAGGGCTTGGTCAGGGAATTCCGAGGCGAGCTCTGACCCAATTTTTGTATGCTCCTGTTCAACCCCCAGTCATGTAGACTACTAGGAGACAAATGGGCACAGTCAACGGCCAAGACGGCCAAGAAGGACAAGGACAATCTTCCAGAGACTGTTCTAGCTGCAGAAGAAGCTTTGTGCCAGAGTAGCTCAACCGAGTTTGAATCTGAGGGTGATTCAGGTTGCACTGGCCTGCCCCGGACCAGTTCCCTAAACGACACGCAGCCCTATGGTGCTCATGAGAGCCAGGTGATTGAAATTGAGGAGAGCCAGCCAGTTGTCCGAAGAACCTGTGCCGCCACAGCCCGAAGCACCTGCGCTGCCTCAGGCCGAAGAACCTGCACCGTCTGCGCCGTCTCAGCACGAAGCACCTGCACTGTCTCAGGCCGAAGCATCCGCACTGCCTCAGACCGAAGAACCTGCACTTTCTGCACCGTCTCAGCCCGAAGCACCTGCACCGCCTCAGCCCGAAGCACCCCCACTGCCTCAGGCCGAAGAACCTGCACCGTCTGCACTGTCTCGGCCCGAAGCACCTGCACCGCCTCAGCCCGAAGCACCTGCACCGCCTCAGCTCGAAGCACCTGCACTGCCTCAGGCCGCAGAACCTGTTTTGAGTGCACCCAAAACACCGGAGAAAAAACAGCTAGAGGCTATTGAGGAGTGTGAAGAAGGGACAGAAGCACGTGGCGATGACAAAGAACACTCGGGCTTCCAGGAGCCCAATATTTCAGATATGTTTTTTGCTAGTGCATAATTCGATACTCCATGCCATGCCAGTGAAATGCCAGCAGGACCGGCGCCCCCTCTTTCTTGAGATCCCTGAGAATCCAGACATTTGCAAATTGTTCAAGGCCTATGCCGAGCAACATCTGGATAAGGAAGCTGTGGATGCATCAGCTGTGCTTTCCAGGCTTGTGTTGCAGGCGAGGCTGCATGTTGGAGAAATCATGTCCGAATTTGCACGCATGCAGCATGCACGCATGCATGCTTACTTTTTTCCCGTTCAGATGCAAGAAGATGTTCGCAAGGGCATCAACCAACAAGTCAAGGATGCTCAGGCTGAGCTGACTGAGCAGGTAGAGGAAAAACTCAAGAGGGCTGCAGGTAGGGGACGCGGAAAAGGACGAGGTCGAGGTCGAGGTAAAAAGCCAGCAAATGAAGCACCGCAGGCAAGGAACATTCGATGCAGTGTGCACAGGAAAGTACTAGCAAACACTTTTTCTGTGGCAGGACCTCCCACCGGACGATCCATCTATCCCTGAGGAAGAGGCAGCCAATATTGTTTCAAAACCACGTACTTGATGTGTGCTGAAATGGGTTGTCTAGAGATAAACCATTTGTAGTACCATTTGTCCCAGGCCCCCGGCGATGACCATGATGCCAAGAGCAAGAGCAAGGCTTGGCCCTCATCAGCAGACTTTATACTGTTTGGACCTGAGCACTGAGCCTCACGAGGCTACGAGGAAACGGACTGCATCACCATCAAAGGACGGAGTTGTATCATCCACCCATGCACGAAAACTTGCAAGCTTTAGAAAGGGTGCAGATCAGCTTAGAGCAAATCAGCATGCATGGCGTAGTTGTTGGACAGGAGACGTGTAAGAATAAGTCTTCCAAAAAGCAGGCCTGCAAACACTGTCTTCGTTACAATCTTCGCCGACCAGCAATAGGACAGAAACAGTTTCGATGACTGGAAAACACTTTGCCAGGAATCCTCAACGCCAGAGCCAAAGGTCGAGACCGGGGAGAAGTCCAGCAAGGCTCATGGTGGATCAAGTTCAATGAGTCAGGTAGTCCAAATTTACACTCAAATTGACACATGAAAATTAGCTCAAGAGAAACAATTGGCTGGAATTTGGGAGGCCAAAAGATCAAAGCCAGAACCTGAAGAACGTGAGAAGGCTCATCGATGGGATGCTTTTAGTATGCATGATTTAGTGGAAAGTATGAGAGACATTTGCCAGGAGACTGAGAAATCAAATGGCAAAGAGGAGCCGCAGAATGCTCATGCATGTGTGTTTCCCATGACCTGGTTCAGTAGAAATTGAATTTAATTAGTTCCATGGGAGAAGACTTCCAGGACAAGAGTTCAAAGCTGGAAACCGGCGAGGAGCCCAAGAAGGCTCATGCTTTTACCATGTGCGTGTTTAGTCTATTGGACATTCATTTTGTTCATGATGCGATGTATTCAATTTGTTTGTGGTTTCTACCACGGGCATACTACAGTACTAGTACCGGACAATTTGTGGCATCCCATCACGATGTGGAGTCATTCATGGCCCTGGCAGGTCTACAAGCGACCGCAGATGTCACAGGACTTGTTTCGGGTCAAACAAGTCCTGGGCAGGCATGATATAAATTGCAACCGGTATAGTAGTCACCCAGCTTTTATGAGTTCCAGGATGTACGCAACGATCGGATTAACATGCTCAAGGAACTGGACTGTATGATGATCCCTGACGCAGCGTACACTACCCAAGGGTCAGGGCCCCATTTCTGTAAATTTGTGCTCTAGATCGACACCGTATTCGGAGTCAGGTCCTGGACACTTCAACCAGGCGCCAGTGGTAGCAGCTCTTCCTCCTCAGGGGCATCAGCGATCCAAGTGCTTCTAGCAGAAGCTGGTTTCTATGTCAATACGGCAAATGCAGAAGCAGTGACAGCTGTCAATGACACGTACCGCCTGAATGTAAAGGCAGGCATTAGCTTCTACAACTGGGAAATAGTGTCATTGGCTACATGCAGAAACCAGAACAAACAAGAACAGGTTGACGTGTGTGTGTGTCCTTCTCCACCTTTGTTTGGAGTTCCAGTTCCGCCCTCTCTTGCATGTGGGCCAGGTGAATCGAAGCAAAGGTGGGAGCTCGTTGTCCTGGGGAGTTTTCAAGAATGATGTGAAGACTGCCTGGCAAATTGCTAGGTATGTTGCTGGCTGGGAAAAAATCCCAGTCAAACCTTGAAATGGTCACCCCATATGCTGCATATTCCTCTTGAACGGGGATGCAATTGCTTTTT